CCTAACACTAAACCTCACCATTACAAGTACATACCTAACCCTAAACCCAACCATTATAAGTACATACCTAACCCTAAACCTAACCATTACAAGTACATACCTAACCCTAAACCTAACCATTACAAGTACATACCTAGCCCTAAACAAAACCATTACCAGTACATACCTAACACTAAACCTCACCATTACAAGTACATACCTAACCCTAAACCTTACATTACCAGTACATACTTAACCCTAAACCTAACCATTACAAGTACATACCTAACCCTAAACCTAACCATTACCAGTACATACCTAACCCTAAACCCAACCATTATAAGTACATACCTAACCCTAAACCTAACCCCTCACCCACTAACTGCACTTTTTCTTATAGGGCCGAGGCTAATCTAAAAAAAGTTAAGATTGGTAATCTTAAAAAATGTAGAAACTGGTAAAAAAAATTGTAGAAACGTTTCGTCTTTCCAATGAAAGACGAAACGTTTCTACATTTTTTTGTTTTGTTTTGTTTTTTGAATGTCCAGAGGACCAGTTTTAGATTTTTCTTCCTGGATTATTGAGCATGCATCATGTTAGAGCAGTCATCCTCCAGTGGGAGAGCTGGGGTTTTGATTCCTCCAGCAGTCACATGTTGAAGTGCCCCTGGGCAAGACACTGAACCCTTCATTGTCTGTGATGTGTGTCCCATCGGTGTATGAATGTGATAAAGCTCTGACTATTCTTTACAGATTCAGATTATCTTTATAGAGATGTAGTAGAGTGCTGTATGAGTGTGTGTGTGGAGGTAAATGAGGGCACATGTGTTGTAAAGATCTTTGATAAGATAGAATGGAGCTACAAGATCTCCACTTACCATTTATATAGTCCATTTACCCCCCCCCCACACACACACACACACACACACTCACATGCACAAACAGCTTTATCTGATACATAATATTTTTAATATTATAATATTAATTTAATATTTTATAATATTTTTTGATTGCACAACCTGCAACTTACCAGATCCTTGAAAAGCCCTTTCAGTTCCTTGGCCTCGTCTTGCAGGCGAAACGCCATCCTCTTCCTCATCTTGGAGGACGTGCAAATGATCTGTCCTCGCATAATGGCCCGCACATACTCCACCAGAACCCGTCTGTGCACATCCCCCACCAGCGTCTGTCAGTTTACAGAAGTAAACGCTGACTTTGTTGCAGAGTAATTAAAGACATTCATCAGCACAAACAGGTGAATCAGCTTTGTACCTGATATGGAGGAGGGTCCATCCTTTTGAATTTTCTAAAGTGTTGTTTAATGCCGCCTTCAATTGCTTCAAATGACTCCGTGTTGCTCAACCATTTTCTCTTCATCAGTTTGTCAAAGAAAGGCTGCAACAGCAAAACATCAGGTTCAGGTAAGTATGTCCAGTCTTGGCCTTACATGAGGGGCTCATGGTTTAGAAACCTATACATCTCAGAGGTCAGTGTTAAAGGAATAGTCTGGTTGTATTTATTGACTGTTACTGGGGCCATGTGGAGGAGGTAGGTAAAAAAAATCAGAGAGAAAGTCTCAAAAACTTCTTCAGTCATTTTCATGTGAAGCTCCTTGGAGTAGGACCCATTCAGGATCATATTGTTGTCATTAAAAAAAAATCAGGTCTGTCTTGTAAATGAGTCCCTGAGGCTCAGGGGGATTAACCTGTAGAAATAAAGGTTGAATGAAAATGAAAATTGTCATCGACAACTCAAACTTCAAGAATTACTGAGTTTGAGCTTCATAACAAACTTTACACCATGTAAGTTTATAACAATTGTTTAACTTGTTATTTGCTTGATAATAGAGTTCTATTACTTTTTATAGCAGCACATGCAAAATAAGTGTTTAAACCCAGTCTTCTTTGGAACGTTACAGATCAGGTAACTTTACAGTAGAAATGTCAAAGTTTAAACGTATCAGAAAAAGTTGGACTTTACAAGGTTTTAAGATTAAAAAAAAAATTACAGAATATTCATCTTAGTTTGTTGACATCATACAAACTTTTGAATTATCAACCAAACTTAGAGTTTATAGATAAAATGTATTATTTTTCACTTAATGTTTTCCCTGCGCTCTAGGACTTGTGGCTTTCCCTCAAATTCCCCAAGTACAGAAAATCAAAACCATATCTGAGAATACTTTTCTTCAAAGGTAGAAGTAAAGTTTCTTTTGAAACTTGTAAAATCTCCCACATTAAACTCTCTTGATACATGAAAATTAACACGTAACAAACAGACGTGTCTGCTGCTCACAGTTCAGCAATTTTGTTATTAGTGTGAATGTTCAAACATTCACACTATTGTTTTAGCATTCACACTATTGTTTTAGCATTCACACTATTGTTTTAGCATTCACACTATTGTTTTTCTGTTTTTTTCTTTATCTTTCCGTACGTTTTTCGGCATCTTACTACTCCCACAGTTTTTGTGCTATTTCAACAGTTCATATATCAAACCGTTCAGCTGTTTGAGGACAAGTCTGCCATGACTTTTGGTATTGGTGCAACTTTAGATTCTTGAGATATTTAGCCATTTCTGCCATTTTGGATCTCATTGAAAATGAATGGAGCTTATTTTATAACCTTAATAACTTTTGATCTGTTGACCACCTTGTACTAATACTTTCACATGCACACCTGGTTAAGCGTCTTTCAGCTTTACTGTGCAAACATTTTAAACAAAATTCAGCTAGTTCAGCTATTTTCAGCTGTTGTTTCAGCTGTTTTGTGCTCCTTTCAGCCTGATTCATCTAACTTGAACATTTTTGTGCTTCTTCAAACTTATTTATGCAAATTTAAACTTCTGCTCTTTTCAGCTTATTTCAGCAAGTTTTAGCCTTTTCTTCTATTTCAGCTGGCATTTAGCTGTTTTCATGCTAATTTAATCTTTATCAGCTAATTCCACATTTTTTGCAATCATTTAAACTTTTTTCAGCCTAATTCAGCAAAAACCTTCTCCTCCAACTTCCTTCTAGTAATTTAAACTTATTCCTGCTTGTTTTAGCTACTATTCAGCTGTTTTGAGCAAATTTCAGCTTTTCTCAGATAATTTAAACTTTTTTTTTCTTCTTTCGGCTGCTCCTTATTTTTTTTAGAGGTTGCCACAGCGAACTAAGTCGCACAAAGACTTGGCAGTTATTTTTTACGCCGGATGTCCTTCCTGACACAACCACAGACACTGAGCTGCCACAGCCTCTGTGTGGAGCAGAGAGCTGCCATCTAGGACACCCGGAGGAGCAGATGGTACAAGTTAAGGGCCTTGCTCAAGGGCCCAGGGTGGGATGAATGGGGGTGGGGGCAGGTGTGGGTGCTTCACCTGCGCAGCCACATTTTTGATGTTGTCAGTACCGGGGTTTGAACCAGCGATCTTCCGATCACAGGCCCACCTTCTCTAACCACTCCCCATAATTTAAACTTTATTGCTCTAATTTATACCTACTTGAGCCTTAGTGGGCACAAATAATCTCCCTCCACTTCCTTCTGGAAATTTAAGCTTCTTTCTAGATTTCTTTAGCTACTATTCAGCTGTTTTATAGAAAAACTGAGATAACGCTGCCATTTTTAGAGTTATTCAGCTGAGATTTGGTTTGTTGGTAGCTGAGAGCAGTGCTTAACAGAGCTGGTGCAGAGAGAATAACCTTCACATCAATGTGAAGAAGACAAAGGAGATGATTGTGGACTTCAGAAGGAACAAAAACATCTACACCCCCCTGAACACAAGAGGATCTGCAGTGGAAGTGGTCTCCAGCTACAAGTACTTGGGTGTACACATGAACAACAACCTCAGCTGGAGCAACAACACCACCAGCCTGATGAAGAAAGTTCATCAGAGACTCTACTTCCTCAGACGGCTGAGACGAGCTGGTCTGGAAGCTCAGTCCTCACCTCCTTCTACAGGTGTGCAGTGGAGAGCATCCTGTGCTCCAGCATCAATGTGTGGCATGGAGGCTGCACAGCTGCAGAAAGAAAAGCTTTGCAGAGAGTGGTGAAGGCTGCACAGAAGATGTTGGAGTCAGTCTCCCCACCATCACAGACATCTACACCTCCAGATGCAGGAAGAGGGCCACCTGCATCATGAAGGACCACACTCACCCAGCACACACACTTTTTGCCCCGCTCCCCTCAGGAAGGAGGTTGAGGAGCATTAAGTGTAGAACCACTAGACTGAGGAACAGCTTCTACCCTGAGGCTGTTAGACTCATGAATCTCTAAC